CCCCCCCCCGATCATCGGCGCACGCGCACGGACGCCATGAAGACGCGAGTGGGGCGCGGCAGGCACTCACACGCAATCACATCCCTGCATCTCTCGAGCGCAACACTCGGCTCAGCTTCACCATGACATTGCTCGGCTCTCGACTAGCGCGCGGCTCTGCAATCACATCTCTCCTTTCCTGGCATTCACCGCCTTTTTCAAGTCCACACTGTTGCTCAGCTAGTGTGGCTCGGGGCCATCATAGTGCAGGCCAGCACTAACGCCGACATCGCAAGCGAAGTATCTTGCGACGCCAGTCAGCCAAGCTAGAGCGATGAGGATTGCAGTCACTGGAGCTTCCGGCTTGTTGGGCCGGGCGGTCGTAGAGAGGTGTACATCTGAGGGGCATCAAGGTGAGCTATGCTACTTGTCCAGTTACGTGCCGCGTTACCTGAGCAACCGAAGCGCCATCAGCTCACACGCACATCACCTCGCTTGCGCTCACAGTCCTCGGTCTTGCCAAGTCACGGGCAGTCCCGCCTCTAATCTCCTTGGACCTGCTCGACACCTCTTCGCTCAGAGAGGTACTGCAGCGTTTCAAGCCGAACGTCATCATCCACACAGCCGCAGAAAGGAGACCTGATGTGGTTGAAGCTGATCCCCAGGGATCTTGGGAGCTCAATGTGGACGTCCCAGGAAGCTTGGCAGAAATAGCCAGGGATATTGCGTTCGAGCTTGTTCCGGATTCATCCATGACGCATGATGCGCATTCGAATACAGCAGGCACAGAGGCAGAGACACCGACAGAAGGACGCGGAACAGAATCACCGCTACTCATTTATATCTCGACAGACTACGTCTTTGATGGAACCTCACCGCCTTACAGTCCTTCTGACGAGCCCAACCCGCTCAACTCATATGGTCGCAGCAAGCGGGAGGGGGAAAAGGCTGTGTTGAGCAAAGGAGAGAGCGGGAGGGTCTGCATTTGGAGAGTTCCCGTCCTGTGAGTCCTTCGCTCGTTCGTCTGCGATGCCGGTCGCCACTAATGCTTGATTTGTTTGAGCCGCAGGTACGGCAAAGCGGAAACGCACTCTGAGTCGGCAGTCAATTGCTTGTTGGACGTGATCTCGCCTCGCGAGGAATCAAAAGGCAAAGTCAAGATGGACGCAGTCGCCGTCAGGTATCCAACGAGCGTTGAGGATGTATCTCGCGGAGTTCTCTCCCTCTCTCAAATCTGGTACAAGTCTCTGTCTGACGTTTCGGCATCTTCGGAAGAGGCCTCAAATGCGCAGAGCAAAAATGGCATCGTTCGAGGCAGGGTCCCGCCCATCCTGCATTTCTCAGCGAAAGAAGCGATGACGAAACAAGACATGTGTTTTGTCCTCTCTCGCGTTCAGCGCGCACTGGGAGAGCCTACCAGCACGGATCATTTGGAGCCCGTTTACGAAGTGGATCCGAACGATACAAGCAGACCTAGACATGTCAAGCTAGATCTGGACCTCACAGAAAGGTGTGGAGTGGACACAAAGTGTACGGGATTTGAGGAAGTGGGTGGCGCGGTCCGCGACCGAGAAGGCCAAAGATCGTCGATGGACATGCTGCTGACCCACTTTCAATTCATTTCGCTCCTCCCTCGCTCCATCCCTTTGCACTTGTTATCATGACAGTGGTGGACACCTTACTTGACCGAGTTGGCCGTGGTAGCACGCGCAAGGAGGGAAGAAGAAAGGCTTCAGAGGGAGAAAGAGGAGGCGGAAGAGAGGGCAAGAAAAGAGGAAGAGGAGAGGTGCAGAGCCAGACAAGAGGAAGAGGAGAGGCAAAAGGCCAAGGTAGAGGCTGAGGAGAGGGAGCGCAAAGAAGTGGAGGAAAGGCGAAAGCGAGAGGCTGAAGAGGAGGCTAACCGACAGGCTGCGGAGCTGGCACGAAAAGCAGCTGAGGAGACTGCCAAGCGTAGGGAAGAAGAGCTTGCACGAAGGCAGGCTGAGGACGCGGCTCAACAAGAAGCTGTAACAGCCTCACCAGAGACACCACAATTCATTGAGGGTGAAGGCGTGCAAGCTAGTCCGCCAATGCAGCCTCAGCCGCAGCAGCCTGCCAGCGCAGAAAAGGAAGCAAACAACTCATCAGCAGCAGGACTTGCTTCATCGTCTTCTTCAGTTAGAGCCAGGTCACCCATCTCCAGACTGGCAGAGGAGAACCACGCGCACGCGAGCGATTCCAAGCCCGCTTCCCTACGTCTACTTGGTTCGCCGAATGCTCCATCTTTCAGCTCTCTGAGGGCCAGACCCACTCCGCCCGCGACCAACATCTCTGAGAGTGGCGGAAACTCGCCAGCAAGCGCGAATGCGAGCGTCACTCGGAGCCAAAGCACGGCGAGAAACGAGGATCTGGAGGAAGATCCTTTAAGTTTGAGCTCGAATGCTGAGCATGGCGCGCTAGTGCAAGGTTCATCGCAAGCTAACATCCAAGATTCCAATTCCGCGTCTGCCTCTGGCTCGGGCTCCAGCGCGACGCACATGCAAGTCTCGAGGGACGAAAGCTATTTTCCCTCACTGGCTGTGCCAAGGAACGATCCAGGCCTGGACGTGAGAGGACAACATGCGCCGAGCGCTGATGCGGATACCAAGGCTCCCAATGATGGAGATTCAGATGGATATGGGCAGCCAAGTCCGCGGGAAAGCTCTGTTCAATTTTCGCAGGAACATCATCATGTGCCACCTGCGGAAGATGGAGAGGCTGAACAAAATCGACAAGCTGCTCAGGACGCGGGGTCTGGCGTCACTCCAGCGCACAAGCAGTCGTGGGAGGTGACAAGTGGGAAATCTGCTGAAGCGGAAAGCACACCGGTTGCTCCTAGACCCAGCTTTTCCATCAAGGTGGGAGATCCTCAAAGGAAAGGTGATCCCGTCACTGCTCACATTGTCTACACAGTCAGAACCAAGGTGAGAGGCGCTTCTTCGATGATACAACTACTCGATCACATGCTGATACTCTTCTTGCGCGTTTGTCTGCCATCTGGCTCAGACCAATCATCCAGCTTTTCGATCAGAATTCAGCGCATTGCGACGTTACTCAGACTTCAGATGGCTACATGCCGCCTTAGTCCACAATAATCCGGGCGTGTTCATTCCTCCAGTGCCGGAGAAGCACAAACTGGGTCGTTTCAATCCCGAATTGGTGGAAGCCAGACGCTATGGGTTGGAGAATTGCATCAACAAGATCGCAAATCATAGACTCTTGCAAGAAGATGAGGACCTGAGACTATTCTTGGAGAGCGTGGACTTTGCTGCAGATGTCAGGCTGAGGGATATCAGGAAAGGACCCGTACCTACTCCGGAGCAGAGAACGTACTTCGGATGGAGCAATCAGATGAGCGCCCCCAAATTTCACGAGACAGATGAGGTGAGCCTGACTATGAGCGATGCAGGGCGAAACGTTTTGTCATGGCGCTGCTCATCACTTCGACGATGAATGTACATGCCTGGCAGTGGTTTGGCAACCAGAAGAATTACTTGGATCATCTGGAGACGCAACTCAAGAACCTTGTCAGGGCCGTCTCTTCGGTTTCGCAGCAACGTCGAGGTGCGTTCCAATGTCAGAGACTTGGTAGAAGCAGTCTCGCGGATGTACTGGTGCTCATCCTTGATATCTACGCATATTTCCACAGATGCAGCGTCGGCCATCTCGGAGCTGTCGCACGCGCTGATGATGCTGTCCGGAAGCTCCCTCTCGAGAAGCTTGTCCACTTGCTTTGCTGGACTGGGAGAAGTTCAGAGAAGATCTTGCGAGCTGAACGACGCGCAAGCTGAAGCTGATATGCGTGAGATGGGCGCCGTCCTCTATGAGTACGAGCGCATCGTCGGCAGTGTTCGTGTGAGTCAAGACCTGGCGTGTCCTAGCTCGTATGACCAATTGAGGAAGTACTGGGCTGAGAGGCGATACATCTGCATGAACACATCACTAGAAAGCATTCGCTACTCGTATAGACGTCTGGCAAGCTTGGCAGAAGTCGGAAGAGGAATACCGCAAAGTGCGCTCGAAGCATGAAAAGCTGGCTCGGGAAGGCAGGTCGGGAGGAGAGAGGATGCACATGAGCTTGCAGGACGTTGCGGACGCCGAGAGCAGAAGCTTAGGCCTGAAGAGGGACTTCGATCTGGTCGGCCTCAGGTGCAAAGATGAGATGGATCGCTTCGATAGCGAGAAGGTTCAAGAGGTCAGGGCTGCTGTGGAAAGTTGGATCCAGGGCCAAATTGAGAGACAGATCGAGGTGAGTACATCTCTGCACACCTGTGTGTCCAAGTTGCGATGCTCATCGTTCATCGTTGACTTTCGCTGTTCAACGTCTCGCAGCTCATTGGCGAATGGGACCAGTATTGTGCGTTGCTGAGTCGACAGTCGGGTACACCGCGGCCGAATCCTCTACCTGCGCCGGTACAAGCCCAGCAGCCTTCGCCAAATGGCACTGTCACCTCCGCTCCGGCCCCTGTGGAGGGTCAAAGCAGACCCAATCCACAGTCAACGCTCGACGGCAACGCGCAGGCAGGAAGTGCTACCCAAATCTCGACTCTGGTCAACGGCCACAGCCAGCCGAGTGTTGTGGTCGGCGCGGAAGGAAATATCGTCGAGCCACTGGATGGACATGACAATGGTCAGGCGCAGCCCTCCGCGGTCTCTGTTACTCCAGTTAGCGGGTCAAGTGGCGATGCTGGTGGTAATGCAAATGGAGCATTGCAGCAGGCCACCTCGTCAAATGAAGCGACGCAAGTCAAAGCTTCTGGCGACACCGATATGGAGTCTGGTCGGAAAATCGACCCATCCATGGGTAAACCAGCTCCTGTCACTGCAGGCCAGACAGCTGCGGTGCCAGCGCCCTCTACGGCGGGAGCGGAGCCGGTTCAGGGCGAAGTGATGATCGCACCTAAAGCTGGCCAGGATGCGCACGTTGACAACATCTCAGCTGCTGGGACCGCAGCCGGCACCAGGGAGCCAAGCGAGAAAGATGCCCGCCCAGATCAGGCGACAGAAGTGCAAGCTTCTGCAGCCACTCGTACATCAGAAGAAAACACAACAGCTTCGGCCGCGCCGAACGCTGATTCGTCTGTACAGCCATCACGTGCTCCTATTACTACTCTCGGCTCACCAACACAGGCACCGCCCTCGACAATGCCCGAAGCTTTTGTAGCGCCAAGACAGCACCCGCAGCAGAGCTCCGCGCCGCCGCCCATGCTGCGTCCAGTGCCTGGGCCAGCTCGAGCCGAAGACCTAGCCGCCGCTTCAGAGATTGCAGAGGCGCAAGGCAGGCAAGCTGCGGAGGAAGCGAGGCTGAAGAGGGAAGAGAGAGAGAAGAGAGAAAAGGTGGAGAGAGAGAGCAAAGCAAAGGAGGACAAGGAAAGGGCGAAGAAGATGAGAGAGATGAAGGCGAAGGAGAAGAAGAACAAGCAGAATTTGCTGGGCGATCTGCTTGGATAGTTATCCTGCGTAGCTTCTGCTGCGAATTGTGTGTGCGTGTGCGTGCTTGCAATCTCCTCCTGTCATCCTACATGTTACTCTCATCAGACTGCAAATTCACTGCGGCATTAGACCACCAAGTTACACGTGAAGGTCATCAGCTCTCCAGCTTCAGCAGCGTCTGCTTTCGGCACGTCAGCCCATTGCCTGGATGCAAAGACTAAGTGGTAGTAGTGGGAGTACTCTCATCAGGCCTGACATCTGGAGGCCTGACCCGCAAGGGCGATTGATCAAGCGGGGATCTCAAAGCTGCTCCGCAGGTGCATCACGTGCAGGAAAGCCTAGCTCGCGATCGCGATCATTCGCGCCATACCTACGAGCTCGCGTGACCTTTCTAGACCATGCAACGGATATTTCAGCGCTTGCGCTCGTGTTGAGTGGCCCTTTTCGTTGCATGAACCAGAAAGCAGGTCAAGCAAGACCGAATCGAGAGATTTGGCTCGTTGACTGGGATCGTTGCAATCGCAGTCACAGTCTGAGTGCCTGTGCAGAAAGACGATGCTGCGTATATGCGCAAGGGAGCGAAGAGGAAGTCGAGTTTGAAAGCCTCGCATCGAGATGCATGAGCGTGCATATGAAGGCTTATTTGTCGGACACTGCTGAGACGCTCTTATCTCTTATCTTTGAGATTCGTATGCACAAATTCTGGCTTGGCTTGCGACCTGCATATAACCTGCATTGAACCTTTTGAGCAGGATACCACCGCTGTTGAGCCAGCTCTTCGAACCCCCCTCTCGTCTGAGTCGTGCCGGAAAAGATCGATCCAAGTGGGGTTCCGCAAGACAGCCACTGGTGAGCTGTAGTGGCTAGAGCCCCGGCGGTGCCGACCAATTCTCAAGTCGAGCGAGGATTGTGAATCGTACATCGAATGTTTGTGCAGGGCGAACGAACACAGTACGTGAAGACGGCGTGGCGTGGTGTGGTGTGGTGCGGGAGTCGTGTGCCTGCCAAGCAAATGTATCAGCATGCAGGCTTGATCCGATCGACAACATCCTTCAAGATCGAGGAGCGGAGGGGAGGGAGCGAAGGGGAGAATTAGAAATATCCATATCTAGAGCATATGTCTCCAGCAGAGATAAACCTCTTCATCGGGTGTCATTTCAGATCGAGAGAGTGTGATGAGTCTCGTGTTCGAAACTTCTTGCCAAGACTCGATCGTGCAGCATGAGGACGAAGAAGATCAGTCAGCAGCCAGCGACCTCTGAACGAATGCTTGATCGCCTGCATCTTTCCACCTCCCCCACTTCGACTCGACTCTTCTGACTGATGATCATCAGAAAGCGCCGCTAGCGCGTCCTCGATGAGGTCACCTCGGACATGAATGAGCACGAGGGTCTTAGATATCAAGCCGATCCCGCGTGGGCTGGTGCATATGGTGCAGGGTTTCCATGGAAGCCACCGGCGGGGAAAGGCGGGGCGGGGCGGGGCGCGGTGCGGATGAAACCTTGCCTGCGGTGCACACGACCTTGCTCGACGCTCTGCGCTGTTCACAGCACTGGTGACTTTGACTCGATTCACACTCAAGACTCCAAAAGCATAATCTACGGCACTAGTGATTGGTTTCGATGGTGCCTGATGTCATTGCTCCGCCTTGTGCGAGTACTACTACTGACGACTGGTGATAGCACGTCCATCGATTTGGGAAGAGAAAGCTGGTGTTGTGCTTGTCGCTTTGCCCCTCGGCTGCGAGCCGCTTTCAGGCGTTGCTGGGGACTGAGATTGCTTGCTGCTGCATGTGTTCTCGCTGAGTCTGCGCGATTTTGAGACGCTGGCTCACACTGATGGGATGGCACTACTGCACACATCACACGCGCTACATGCACAGTACATCCAGCAGTCATTCAATAATGAAACGCGAATCGTTCCGGAGGCCGGTCGCAGCAACAGCTGATGTGCGCGTGCATCGACAATCTAGCCTTCAGCTGGCCGCATGCCGCTCGACTGAACAGCATCGACGTGCATGCAGCATGCACGCGTGCACTCTCGCGGCGGTCATTTGGAAGGATTTCGCTCTCGGTCGTCAGGG